GGGGGCCACCAAGAGGCTACGATGGTGCAGGCGGCTCGGACCTCCCACAGCCGGCCCCGCCTTCTCCGGGCTGGGCCGGAGCACAGGTCCACCCCTTGGTGCTGTCTCCGCCCTCTCCCTGGCCTTCTTGGGAGACTTATGGTGACTTATTCCCCCCTCCCCACCACCTCGCCCCCATCATGGCTGACAGATGATCGTAAGTAGAGGCTCGCCTGTGCGTCTGTCTGTCCGTCCGCTCTGTGTGTGGACTCGGCCCACCGTGTGGCTGCACCCTCTCACCCAGTGCCCTCGCCTCACCCACTGGCTCCTCCACCCACTGTCCCACATCCCGCCTAGATGTGCCTGTGTCTGTCTGGGGCCCGGGTTTGGGGAGGGGGCGGGGCCTGGAGGGAGGGAGGCCACGCCCACCACCCCGCCCCATTTTAGTACGGAGGCCACGGCTCCAGGCTCCCAAACCCCACGCCCAACACCTTCACAGCTGCCATGGTCCTTTAGTTGGGGATCCCTTATTCCCATGCTTAGATGCCACTAGGGTATGAGTCTCTCCCCAAAACTAGAAGAAGGTTCAAAGTCAACACAGCCCCTCTGACCTCCACTTTAGGTTCCACCCTGGTCCCTACTCAGCTGCTCAGCATAGGCCGTCCACCCCCGCTGCCTACCTCTGTCCAGCTGCATATACAGATACACACGAATCCCAGGCACCCAGACGGGAGATGGCATTGTTACTTTGGTGTCAGGAAGACTTGGCGTCAAATCCCAGCCCAGCCACTCTTTTTCTCTCTCTGTGACCTCGGGAAATCACTTCACCTCTGAACCTCCATTTCATTGTCTGGAAAAAGGGGCTAATTATAGAAACTGTCTGAGAGTTGTTGTGAGAAGCAAATGGGATGATGCATTAAAGTGCTCATCTCTGTGACAAGTGGAGGCAGTGCTCACTAAATTAAAGTTAATATTGTTGTATTGGTGATGGTGGTAGTAGTTAGACACATACCAGGGCAGAAATCAGTAACAACACTTCAGAGCCCCCCTTTGTGGGAAAGACAAGGCTGTTACAATATTGCGCCTTGTGAGAATTTAGCTCATCGTACTTCTTGGTGGCTGCAGTCTGGATCTTTGGCTAATTATCTGGTGGCAGTATACCCAACCACAGACAATGCATTTGTGGGCAGGAGCTAAGGGAGCTCATGTTTATTGATTATCCCTGTATGCCAGAACTTCTCATAGCTGTGGTTTCAGCTTACCTTCATGGCAACGTTTTGAGCGAGGTGGCTATTATTATTCCCATTTTGCAGATGAGGAAAGCTGAGACTCAGAGAGGAGGTACTTGCTCAAGTCCACATAGTAAATAGATGCCAGAGTCAGGATTCAAATTCAAGTCTGTCTAAATATGGAGACTGTTTGCTTTCCCAAGAACCAAGAGCCTCATATATACAATTAATATAAATGGATTCTATTTTGGCAGCAACTTCTCGCCTTTCTCTCTGGTTCTGTATTTCTGTTTCTCCTTTTCTCTTCTCTTTCTTATTTCTCTGATTCACATGTTTTAAGAGTTGGTCATTAAGGCACACACACATTCCCCCTTACAACCCAGTCACCACCCCCCTGTGCAGTGCAGATCCCCTTACGCCCTGTCCCCATGAGTACACGTGTGATTACCCCGGGTTTCCACCTCACACCACTTGCCCGTTTGATCACCCTGTGACGTTGTCTCTGCAGGGCACCCTCTTGAGAAAACATGGCAAGGGATTAGAAAAGGTAATGAGAGCCTTGTCGGTGCTGAGGTCTCGAGTTCTGGTGTCTGGGGGTGTGTGCATGTGTATGTCTGTGTACACGGGCAGGAAGGTCAGCTTCCTCAGCTGGTCACGGGTAGGAGGTGGGCATCCTAACCAAGTCCCACAAAACTGGAATTCAGAGGCAAGATGATTGTCCAGGGACATGACTTGCAGTGTATGTGCACGTGTGACCTAATGTGTGCACATACAGCTCCCTCCCTTTCACAGCAACACCCAAAGGGCTTTTTCCAGCCCTGGACTCAGCTGAAATTCTATGGCTTTGAGAGGAACCCAGACATTAACCACTGCCCTGGATTGAGACGTTAGTCTTTCTGTAGGTTTCTTTCGTTCTAATGGTTGTTGTAAGGAGATGGGAGCTGTAGCAACACATGAACAGCTGCCCTTGCTGTGCACTCGTGCAAAAGCTGTTGAACCTGTGTGTACATAAGTGGGGTCTCCACTTCATGAACATGGGTTGTAGGACTTCCCAACTCACTCATCCAGCCCTCTTGGGGGTACATTCAATGTGCCAGGCATCTACACATGTATGTGCATCTGTGTAGGGATCAGAGTGTGTGGGTTTATGTGTGTGATTGTGCACACATGTGAAAGTGTTTAGGAATGCACCTGTGTATTTTAGTGTGTGAGTTCTGCATGTGTGTGTGTCTTTGTATATCAACCTGGGTGTGTGTGTGCATAAACTTTTTGCACACTCACGGATGTGCCCAGGTGTGTGTCTGTATGTTGAGTGAAGTTGTGAAACCTGTGAGCACGCTTCTTTTAGAGTCAGGCCTGCCAGGGTAAGGTCTTGGAAGTTGGGGGACGAGAGACCCTGAGTTCTGTATCTTCTCTCCTCCTCCCCAAGGCATCCCATCCCGGGGCAGGCTGACTGTGGAATTGGGCACCTGTCCCCAAGTGATGGGCTGGTTCTAGGCTCCTAGCATGGCAGTCTGGGAGCCTAGCCCCAAGGCCCCACAAGGGGACAAGGGAAAGTGCCTAGCTGGGGAGGGGTCTCAGCCTTAGACCCAGCATCTGGGAGGGAGCTCATGGGCTGGGGGGGTGGGACTGTGCTTTAATGGGGCAGGGAAGTCCCACTGAGTATCCTCCCAGTCTTTACCTGAACGCTGACCTCCACCTGATTCTCTTCACAGGGCAGGGCGAAACTGCCAAGCCACTCAGATGTAAGACCAGCTTCTCACTGTCTGTCTGGCTCTCCCTCACCCCCCACCCCACCCTGTGCCTCCTTCCACCCCTGTGGTCTGTGCCGTTGGGGGCGTTCTGTGAACCTGTCTGTTGGTCTATTCTTCCTCTGTCTGTCTGGCTTGCTCCTGAAGGGTGGCGGGTGGGGGGCAGCAGGCGGGGAGGAGGAGGTGACAGGGGAAACTGAGGCACAGACAGCTGGGCTCCTGAGGAACTGTGCCTTGTGACAGCTTCAGAAAAATGGCAGACCAAGAATAAGAAGAGTAGGGACAGTTAGGATGATGATAACTCTAGTAGTGGCAGGGTGACCAGTTCCCACAGGCCAGCTGATAGATGGCCCCCTCCCTGCCCAGCCCCACCCAGGACCCCCAGACCACTACAGGACTCAGTAACACAGTCTTATCTCACTGATAGGCCCACCCCATGCCCTAAGTGGGTGCCCTTGTTAGCCAGGTAGAAAACTGAGGTCCAGAAAGGGTCTGGGACACCCCCAGCACAGTGATAGAGAAGGCAGGACACATGACCTCCAGGCTGGGACCCTCTCTCCCCCAGCACTGCCTGTGACCTTGAGACCAAGTACAAATAACAGCAAACATTGCACAAAGACACACTTAGTCCCCGCTAAATCACAAAGTGGGTATGATTTCTCCCATCTAGATGGCAAAACTGAGGCTCAGGGAGGTTAAGTGACTTGCCCAGGGTCACACAGCAGAGCTGGGATTTGAACACAGGCCCACTCAGCTCATTGGATGCCATCTTGCTGGTGTCTGTTTTTGGGGGTGTGGGGGATGGGTACTGAGGTGTGTGTTATTGGGGAGGATTCTTCCTTTAAAAGGTCAGACTAAGGGTCCCCCAGATTACTGGAGAACTCCTATTGCAGAGCGAATTGTCCCTCGCGGGGGGAGGGTGTTTCACCAGAGTCCATCTCACGGTTTTCTCAAGACTCCCTGACTTTGGGCTGGCAAGCCCTGCTCACACCTACAAACACCATCTGGGCCTCCCCCACCCACTGTCCCTCGCAGCCCACTCTCTGTCTCTCTTCTCTATCCCACAAACCTGGGGTCATGGTGGAGGTGGGAAGGCGGGTAGCATCCCCACAGGACTAGGATTTCAAGGGACAAAGTCACCATCTCCTCCTCAGCACTTCTCCAGAGCTCCAGACCTCTGTCCCCAGGACACCACCATTGTCCTGCCCAGAGCCTTTGGACAAGAACCAAGAAGTCCAGGGCTAGGGTGTCAGCAGGGGTTTGGGGACTGGTTTGGAGGACCCCCACATCCTTACCCTGGCTGTGTCTGTTGTTACCTGCAGGGAACCCAGATGATCTTCAATGCAGCCAAGGAGCTGGGTCAGCTGTCTAAACTCAAGGTGAGGCCAGAGATGGGGGAAGGAGATCAGAGTGGGGAGGAAGGATTCCTGGGGGAGAGATTCCCAGAATGGTGACATGCTTTGCAGGTTCAAGGAACAAGAACCCTACTAAGACTGGCTTAAGCACAATTTATTTGCTCTGGTGTGTTGGAAAGAGGTGCATGGTTCAGCTTCAATACAGCATAATCAAGTGTACAAGTCATTTATACAACAGATATTTATTGAGCACCTGCTGTGTGCGAGTCACATGCTGGGCACTAGAGACACAATGATTGATGAAAAGACAGACTCGTTATCCATCTCAAAGTTGTATAAGGATGAACCCCAGAGACAGGCAGATCCCTAATGCGGGGTCTGCTCTGCCCACCTGGCCTCTCTCTCCATCCATCTAGGACCACATGGTACGAGAGGAAGCCAAGAGCTTGACCCCGAAGCAGTGTGCAGTTGTTGAACTTGCCTTGGACACCATTAAGGTGAGAAGCACAAGCCCTGCCCATCCCGGGTGGGGCAGGCAGAGGGTATGGCTGGTGTGGACATGGACCTAGGCTCTAACCCACCTTAATTCATTCAATTTATAAATACTTCCTGATGACCATTCTGGCAGGGCCCTGAGAAACCCCAGGCTGGGGTGGGGTATAGCTGGACACAGACATTCCCAGCCCTGTGGAATCAGGGTGGGTAGAGGGAAGGTTGGGAGCTGGGGAAGCCCATGGAGGGAGCAGTGAAAACTTTTTTGGAAGAAGGCATGTGGGAGGTGGGTTTTGAGGAATGTATAGGAGTTCACAAGGTAAATCAAAAAGAGCATTCTAGGCAGGGGACCAGCTCATGCAAAAATATGGAAGCATGAAAAGAGCTGTGGTCTCCATGAAACGAAAAGCGTGAGAACTACTCTGAAAAAAATGTTTTGCTGAAATGAAACTGGCAACATATTAAAGAGGGGTGGTCAAGGAAAGCTCCTTGAAATCTTAATCAAAGAAAGGCAAGGAGCCAGGGTAGAGATGGGTATGGGGACAGGGAGGGTCTAACCACCACTGAGCATAGTAAGTGCAAAGACCCTGAGGCAAACATGTTCTAGGGAAGAGAGTTGGAGAGAAAGCAGGGAGGTTGCAGGGTTAGAGCCACTAAGGGCCTAGGTAGGGGCTGGAGGCATGAGTGTTATTCTGAGAGCACTGGGAGCCCATGGGTGGTTTGGGGGCAGGAGTGGAGATGGAGGAGAAGCAGCACCCAACTTGGGTGGTTTGGAGACTCCCAGGTCATCTGGTGCATCACTGCGGAGAGCAGAGGGTTGGGAGATAGGGAGGTGCCAGGATGGGCCAGTAGCAGGGATGGCCTCACTTCCCCAACCCTGTGCCCACAGCAATACTTCCACGCGGGCGGTGTGGGCCTCAAGAAGACCTTCTTGGAGAAGAGCCCGGACCTGCAGTCCCTGCGCTATGCCCTATCCCTCTACACGCAGGCCACCGACCTGCTCATCAAGACCTTCGTGCAGACGCAGGCGACCCAGGGTAAGGGACCACAGGCTAGCTTGTCGAGAACTCCCGCCCGCAGGGGCAACGCCGTGCCGAGCAGCCATTGGCTCGTCTCCTCTGTGAATCACAAGAGAATTGATAACTCCTTGGCGCACGTGAAGTCCTTGATGTCACGGGCCAATGAGTGATCGACAGCTTGTGGGGTCAGGACCAATGACGTCATTGGGCCAGGAGGTGATTGACATCTCCTGGGAAAATCTGTGACGTTACAGGGTCAGGAGGTGATTGAAAACTCTGGGGAGGTACTTCCTTGACGTCAAGGTGATTGACGGATCTTAGGAGGCCCTGACGTCATGAGTCCAGCGAGTGATTAACAGCTCTGGCATAGGCTGGACCTCTTATGTAATACGGCCAATAAGTGATTGGCAGCTCCAGGGGCGGGATCTCTGGAGGAAGGGTACAAGGCCCCTGGGGAGGAACGTCTGTAATAAATATCTGGGGCTAAGGAATGATTGCCAGCCCCAGGGATGGGAGGGACCCCGACCTGGAGTGGGTGGACAGATAGGAAATTCCCATTTTTCAAATTCTCTTTCTGTCTTCTCGTGCTTCTGACTCCTGTCCCTCTCCCTCTCTGAGCTCCACACACAGCAGCTGGGGCTGGAGGGCAGGACTCCAGGGTCCTAGTTCCACTCCCCAGGGCTTCCCCTTTTTCAAATTCGCCCCAAGAATGCAGACAAGGGCGAGACAAGAGCGGCTGACCCAGGCTGAGTTCTGGCAGTGGAGGGGGAGGCTGGGGTGCGGGGAGCCAAGCCCTGTGGCTCTAAGGGCTCACCACCCCAGTCAGCCCAGTCAGCCCAGGGCCCTCAACTTCTCGCCCAACCCATACTGCTGCTTTTAGTGTCCCTGGTGTCCCCCGGAGTGGGAGGCTGTCTGTCTGTCCGTCTGCAGCTGATGTTTCTCTCTTTCTTGTCTCTCCTCCCTCTCACTCGCCGCTCCCTCCGCGCCTCCCTTGCTCTCCCCACGCACACTCGCCCTCCATCCTCGCCCCTCAATTGCTCGTCTCTGCCCCCCTCCCTTTCCTCCTTTCTCCCCCCTCCCCCGCGATTAGTCCATGGTGGAAAAGGGACTAGGTTTACCCTTAGTGAAGACATTTATCCTGAGAAGGGTACGTGCCTCCGCCGCCCACCCGCGCCCGGTGCCCGGTGCCTGCGCCCCTCCTGGCCCCGGCTAGTAAAAGGCCCGTCCTTCTGCCTCCACGGCCTGCGGGGCCCCATCCAGGCCAGACAGGCTGCGGGGGCCAAGGTGGACGAGGGGGAAGGACGGCTTGCTGGTTCCACGTGGGGAAGGAGAAGCGATTAGAGTCGGCCCCTGTTTCTCCCTAAGTGCCTCTCTTAATCTAGATCCCGGGTCCCCTGGGCTCAGATTCCAGCTCTGCCATTCAGCGGCTGGGCACCTAGGGCAAACGTCTGTCTCCCTGAGCCTCAGTTTTCTCATCTCTAATATGAGGACAGTCAAGGACCCTAATTCATAGGATTCTTTTTAGGATTCGATGAATTAAATTTAGAGCAGTCCCTGGCATTTAATAGCTCGTAGCAATTGTTAGTTACTGTTGTACTTGATATCACTTTTCTGAGGGTAGAAAACTATTTTTCAGGCTCTAACTCTGAGCCAGCCCTTGTGTCAAGCACTTCTCAAGGATTCTTGCAAAGATGCCTCTCAATCACCACACAAGGTCTGGGGAGGTCTGTTATTCCATAAATGAGGATGTTGAGTTTCAAAGGAGAAGCCACTTGCTCCTGGAACCTTCCCCTGTAGGGGGGCCCGGGACTTGGGGAGGTGGAGAGGGGTATGAGGGTGGTGTTGGGAGAGCACAGAGAAGCCCAGGAAAAACCCTTCCCCTTGGAGCCAGCAAACCATGGGATGGGGGTGCCCCTCCCCCTTCTTACTAGCTTTGGCCTTGGTCTGACCCCTCACCCCACCCACCACTGTCCGACTTCCCCCTGGTACCCTCAGTCTGGCCCTGATTGAGCTTGCAATAAAGCATCAGCCTGGGATGATGGGGGGGAGGTGAGGCTGAGCATGTGACTGGTGGGAGGCAGAAGGGGTGGGAGCCTGAGATGTCAAAGAAGGTGGCCTGGGGTGGCAGTGAAGATGGGGGTGCACGCCCCAGTACTGGGGTGCTGGGGGTCTCCAGGCCCCTCTTCCCCCTGAGCCTCAGTCACTTCCCGCCTGGGGCAAGTGACCCAGATCAACCTTGAACTGACCCATTCTCCTTCCCCACTCCCACCCCTGACTTTCCCCTGTTCCTACCCCCCCCCTTGCATGGGGTGCTCCAGGTGTGGGGAGCTTCCTGGGGGGCTGGAGAGGGGCCTGGTGGGTGTGCTGGCGGTAACAGGTCCTCAGGCTCCCACAGGATACCCTTCCCAGAGTCACAGAGGGAGGGATGGGAACACAAGGTTTTAAGCTGCCCTTCAATGATCCCATCAGAACCAAACAATCAGGATGCTTGTGGTGGTCAGAAACAGAAGCACACCTCACCCTGACTCAAGCAGACAAGGGAATTTGTTGGTTCTGGAACAAAAGATTAAGGGTTGAGTTGACATCAGGAATAGCTGGATCCAGAGTCTCCAACAATGCCGCTGTTCATTGGTCTCTACTGAGACCTCTGTGAGATGGACTATCCCCTCATTGGGCAGAGACAGCCTTGCCAGCTTAGCACCGAGAGGCTCTTTCCTATCAATTATAGCCAGAGTCCCAGGGCCAACTCTGATAGGCCCAGCTTGAATCACATGACCATCCCATAGCCAGTCACTGCAGCCCTGGGCAGGGAATGCTCTGGTTGGGCTGCTGCGGTTCATTTAGCCATACCTGAAGTGTGGGATGGAGCCACAACGTCTGAGGTGAAGGTAGGGGCATTTCTCAATGGAAACTGGAGATTGTTTATTAGAAGAGGAATGGTGTGGGAGCAGGGAAAATAAAAGAGGAAGCTAGTGGGGCTGGCGCAGAATTAGTAAGGATGAGAATGGAGGGAGGTGAGGCAGGAGAGGTAATAGTGAGACGTTAGGAGGGATATTGCAGATCACAAAAAGGACTCCGATTACTTCAGAGTGAGATGGGAGGGTTTTGAGCAGAGGAGGGATGTGATCTGACTTAAGAGGATTTCTCTGGCTGGGGTATTGAGAGAAGATGAGAGGAGGATGCAGGGAGACAGGGAGAAGGTTACTGCAGTAGTCCAGGAGTGTGATGATGGGGGCTGGGTCAGGATGGAGGAGGCCAAGGAGGTGGGTGAGATTCTGGATGTACTTCGAAGGTAGAGCTGACAGGATCTTCTAATGTACCAGCACTTACAGAGGAAGTGAAGACAAAGAAGGGTGTCAAAGAGTGAGGTGCAGGGTTCCCCCAACAATTTGAGGATTGACAGAGGAGGAGGAAATGATGAAAGAGGGTGAGGAGTGACTAGTGTATAGGATGAGAACCCAGAGTGTGGTGTTGTTTCAGCTGAGAGAGGAAACTGAGGCACAGAAATCCAGAGTGTCAGATGCTGTTGAGGTGGCTTATAAGATGAATACTGAATTTTGATGACATGGCAGTCAGTCGAAAAAGAAATATGGAGGGCAGACACATTAGGCTCAGAGAAGTTAAGAGGTCTGCCCAAGATCTCATAGCAAGGCAGTGAAAGGCTAGAACCCTGGATTCTTGGCTTCCTCAAGAGTACCTACTATCCCAGCCAATCCTCAGTACCACCCTGTCAGGGCTGTTGACCTGGTGCCTCCAGCACATGGTGGGTGAGAGGCGGTCCAGGTCCTTTCCGGTGAGTGGGAAAGAATGGAGCTGACGCCAAGCATCCTCTCCTGCCTGCCCAGGCTCTGGTGTGGAAGACCCTGTGGGTGAAGTCTCTGTCCACGTTGAGCTCTTCACTCATCCAGGAACTGGGGAACACAAGGTCACAGTGAAAGGTGAGCAGCCTGAGGAGGGAGGGCGAGTGCCTCAGCGAGGATGCACTAGGTTCTGAGACAGAAACCAAACGCAATCTGGCTTAAGCAAGAAAAACTTTTTTCATTAAAAAAAAAAGTTTTCACAAAACTGAAAATTCCAGAAGTAAACCACCTTCACACATGGCTGGATCCAGGGGTGCAAACAGTGTTACAGGACTACAGGACTCGGTTCCACTTTCTCCATCTCTCAGCTCTACTTTCCTTTTGTTGGCTTTTATTTTATTAATTAGAACACAGATTGAGGCTGTTTTAGCCAAGGCTTAGAAGAACAATGGCTTAAACAAGATAGAATGCATTTTTCTCTGAGGTAACTCCGAGGACAATCTGGCCAGAGCTTTTGTGGAGGCTTCACGGTGTTGGGGATCCAGGCCCCTACCATCATGTGTTGCCCTTTCATCCCTAATGTGTTTTCCTCCTCTACAGGGTCCCAAAGAACTCAACCCCACTAGCATCCCAGCCTGCAGCTAGGGGAAAGAGAAAGTTTAGGGCTTTCTCCCTTTTAAGCCACAACCCGGAAGTTGTACTTATTACTTCCTCTCACATCTTATTGGTCACATAGCTACATTGATTTCATTGGCCACATTGGGCATGCTGAGAAATGTAGTCTTTCAGACAGGCTTTGAAAACCACAGCTGCATACTGAGGGACCCTGACCAATCTTACCCTCCACTTCCCCCAATAGTGGTGGCTGCCAATGACCTCAAGTGGCAGACTTCTGGCATTTTCCGGCCGTTCATTGAGGTAAACATCATTGGGCCCCATCTCAGCGACAAGAAACGCAAGTTTGCCACCAAATCCAAGAACAACAGCTGGGCCCCCAAGTACAATGAGAGCTTCCAGTTGTGAGTTTGGGGTGCTCGGGGGGTGGGGCATCTGCTGGGTTAACCTCAGAGCCCACTAGTTAGGAGGCATGTCTAACTAGGGCCAGTGATACCTAAGCGCAGGAATGGGAAGGGTCACATCCTAGTGGGGGTACTGGGAAGGGAGGCACCTTAGTGCAGGAGTGACATCAGTGAGGGGACACTGGGATGGAGTTGACTACTTTGAGGGCAGTCAGGTCTTGGGGAGAAACAAGTGTGATATAACATGATGAGGGCTTGTGAAGGGGAGGGGAAGTCTGGGCAGAAGCAGTGTGTTGGGTGGGGCCATTTCTGGGGTTGGAGACTGGTGGTTAAGGGCATGGGTGGTCATGATGGGGGAGGAGGAATGAGGTGGGGACTCACGGAGTCAGCAGTGATCCTTGTCAGGTCTGTTGAGGCAGGTCATCTGGAGGAGTCTGCTCTGGGGGACAGGAGTGGAGTGTGGCTTGGTCCAGGACGTGCGTGTCATGTGGGGTGGGGGTGGGGTCACATCCCAGTTGGGCTTTCTGGTGGGCAGGAATGAGTTTGGTCAAGGTATCAGGAGTCTAGAGGGGACAGACCCTGGGAGGCATAAATAAGTCTGATGAGAATGTGCAGAGAGATGAGAGTGGAGTCATGTGGGTGGATTTTTGGGTGAGGTGTGAACTTAACTGGAGCAGGGTAACGTTGGGAGCTCTTCTTGGGGGACAGAAGTGCAGAGGACATCAGAGCTGGGGAGAGCTGGGGGGCTTTGAGGGACAAGAGCCTGGCTAGTAATTGTTAGGAGAGGGCTCTCAATCAGAGGACTCTGGAATGGTAGGTCATCTGACATAATGCTTGGGAGCAGGAGCATGGCCTAGTGGGGGACAGGTGCCTCCTGGGGTGGGCTGGAGTATTTGAGGGCTAGGAGTACAATCTGGGAGAAGGATGTGAAGAAATGGTATGGGCATGGCCAAATGGAGGGACTCTTGATCAGCCAGCAGGCAGCATCAGGGCAGGTCACCCCGGGGGCAGAAGCCTAGCTTTACTGGGCACACAGCCTAGGGGGGCAGGCATGCTTGAGTGGGGGTCACTTGTGGTGAGACATCAGGGCAGGGCCGTGTTGGGAGGGCATCTTAGGGATAAAAGGGGCGAGCTAGTGAGCATGCGGGAGGAGCCACAACAAGGGAAGAACTTCAGTTCAGAAGGGAGCTTGGTTCTGGAGCTTCTGGGGACGATAGCTAAGGCCGCAAGGTGGTGAGGGCAGCAGCTCAGCCTGAGTGTGGATGACGATCACAGAAGTGGTAGGAGAATGGTGTAGCCAGAGAGCTCTGGGGGAAGGGTCACTTGGGATAAGGACATGGTTTGGCCAGGCTGGTGGGAGCGTCATTGGGTGGGGGGCAGAAGGGAGGGAAGAGACATTATTGGGGGGGGGGGGCGGGTGTCAGCTGGTGTGGCTATGGCTCAGCGTGGGACTGTAGGGTGAGGCATCGAGGGCAGGGGCTGGCCTACCTAGAGTGGCAGGTTATGAAAATAGGAGGATCACACGTGGGCATCCATTGGGCATGGCTGGTGGGGTGGGAGGAGCCTTGCGTGGGGCAGGTCCTTCCCTGACGCCCCGCCCCTCCACAGCACGCTGAGCGCTGATGCGGGCCCCGAGTGCTATGAGCTGCAGGTGTGCGTCAAGGACTACTGTTTCGCGCGCGAGGACCGCACAGTGGGGCTGGCTGTGCTGCAACTGCGCGAACTGGCTCAGCGCGGGAGCGCCGCCTGTTGGCTGCCCCTAGGCCGCCGCATCCACATGGATGACACAGGCCTCACGGTGCTGCGCATCCTGTCGCAGCGCAGCAATGACGAGGTGGCCAAGGAGTTCGTGAAGCTCAAATCGGACACGCGCTCCGCCGAAGAGGGCGGTGCCGCGCCTGCGCCCTAGTGCGGGGCGTGCGGGGCGGGCAGCACTGCGCCTTTGTAGAACGCTCGGGACGAGGCGGGGCGGGGCCTGCACGCTGGGACCTTCCAGAGGGTGAGTCTCCGGGCTCTGCGCAGAGGATGGTCAGCACTTTCGCCCATGACTTACCTTCTTTTTTTGGGGAATTGTGAATGGATGATGCACCGCCCCCTTGGGAGGCCATGCCCTAGGGCGAGAGACAGGAAGAAGCCACATCCCCTCCTTGAGGCAACGTCCGCAGCGCCTAGGGGGCCTTTCGAGCTAGGATGGGAGAAATCCCACCCCTTATGGAGGGGGCCAGGTCCCGTGCCTCTGGTTCCGGGAGGCCCCACCTCCTGCCCCCTGGAAAAGCCATAAGACTAGTCTCCAACCCCTGGGGGCCCAAGATCCATTACCAAGTCTAGAACTCTTAGCTCCCTGAGGGGCGGGCCCTAGGCAAGGGGCGGGCCCTAGGCAAGGGACAGGACTTTATGGAACGACCCCTGAGAAGGTCTAGGCCCTAGACTCTAGGGGCTGGAGGGACTAGGATGGTAGTTGGAGGGCCCGGGTGGACCGGAGTCCATTTTGATGTTTGTGCAAAAAATAAACGAGGGGAGGAGGGGATTTAAAAAGCACATGCGCCCTTGGGCGCCCAAACCCTGGGGCGGCTCTGGGGCACCCACATTTCCCTAAGGGTTTTTTTCTCCTCCTTACCCCCCCCCCACATGCTCAGTCCTCATAGAATTCAACCCACCCATTTGACAGGTGGCAAAACTGAGGCCCAGAGAGTTGCTGAGGGTCCCAGTGCCATGCCCTCTCCCCACTCCCTTTGGCCTGTATGTCCCATCCAAGGGTGGGCTGAGATCTGATGACCTGACACAGCTCCCCATTGCTGCTAAACCCCTTAAGGGGACCTTTCCCAACCCTTACAAGGGGTGGGGGTCCTGGGACAAGGCCCCCACTGTTCCTTCCCACCTCAGGCTGCCAAGAAAAACCCTTTATTCTGGGACCCCAGGGGGAGATACCCTGAGAACTCTTGACCTGCCGAAAGAGGATTTGGAATTCCCTGGACCCAGGTCCCCTCAATACCTTCCTCTACCAGAATTCTCCAGGCAGGAAAGAAGTAAGAGACCAGAAATGCTGGGGGGGGGGTGTGTGTGTGTGTGTGTGTGTGTGTGTGTGTGTGTGTGTGTGTGTAGGGTTCCCCAGCACTGGCCCAGGCATGTGTTTTGGGAATTTCCTCCCTCTTATTTTCCCAGAGAGCTCCTAACTCATCCCTCAAAACTCTCCAGAAATATCCCATCCTGTAGAAAATCCTCCTCCCCCTCAGGACTTCCCCACCCTCTGTCCCTGAAGCTGTGGAACTGGGGGTGTCTATGACAGGCTTTGTTTTCCCCAGACTGGGGTCTGAGTCCTCTCGAGCCCCAGGTTCACCCAGCAGAGGCTGGGCACAAGTAGATGGCAAAGAGGGTATGCCTAGTTGAATTAAGTCTTTGGCATCTGTGCATGCCCTCGTATCCTCATGTGCATCTGTCCGTGACTGTCTGTCCCTATCAACCTTACCCTCCCACACAGAGCTGGGCACACAGGAGGTATTCGAGCCAGAAAGTCTGGCTGAGTCACAGGACACAGAGTGAAGAGAGGACCAGAGGAGACGTAGAGGATACAGGAGAGGAATCGAGGTGGCTGGAAGGGTTTAAAACCAGGAAGTTCCTATACTGGAACAACAAGGGTCAGAGAGGAGCAAGGCTTTCCCCAAGGGCACCCAGCAAGTGGACACAGTGCCCAACCTTGGATCACACCTCTGGGTGCCTGGGGTTCTGAGCCCTGGTGGGGTCTTGGGGATTGCATTGGACTTCACTTCATGCCAGGATCTGGCCCCAGATTTCCATGGATCAGGGAAAGGATGAAGTAAGGTGGGCCCCTGACAAGGTAGAGGGGTGTGACATTGAGAGATATCTTGGACAGAGCCAATCCCCTCCCCAAGAGGGACAAAGACAGAATAAGGGCACAGAGACAAGCAGAGAGAAGGTAAGAAATTGGAAGAATGAGATCACACCCCACTAGAGAGAGAGTCCTTGAGATGGAGAGACTTGGAGATGGGGCGATGCAGAGATGGGACAAAAAGCAAAATTGAGGACCTAGAAGGAAGAGAGACCCACTGTTCTGGCTCTCATCATTCCGTCCTAGAAGGATTTACCTAAAATGAGGTACTCGGCTGCACCCCTTAATCCCTCTGACTTAGGCGCCAGTCTGAAACCTCACCGTGCCCCCATCAGAGATGCAAAAAAACTTAACACCTAACTAGAAATCATTGGGACCTCAGAGACCTTCCTGTCCCTGACCCCGCACGCCCTGCACTGTCCATCTTGCAGATGGGAACACAGAAGGCAGGGCAGAGCGGGGACAGCCCGGAGTTGCCCCAAACTCTGCTGCCTGGGCGCAGAGGGAGGGGAGCTCGCTGGGGACTTGGTTCATATCACCACTCCATCTGCCCCCTGAACATCCTTTCTTAAGAACTGTCAAGGACCAAAGTCGTCTTCGCTGACACGTGTTGCTTTTCTCTTTGCCTTTTATTTTTTTAAAGAGAGAAATCAAGTTGACGGTGTCGAGTAAGACCCCCCCCTTCCCATCCCCCTGCCACCGTCCAGCCATAGTGGCTCTTTCGAGGCCCAGGTCACAGGCGGAGGGTTACCGGTGCATCTTGGGCCACACAGCCAGGGAGCTCAGACCCCACCCCTGGCCCCGCCACCTCAGACACCGATACCCGGCCACACAGTCCAGAGAGGTTCTTCCTCCACACACTGTCTCTTAGCATGTGATTGCAAATGTGAAATCAAAACACTTTTAATTCCATCCCGTCAGTCCAGCATCTCTACACAGATGCCCCCATTTCTCTGTAAATATGTGACTTGGAACAAATGTTTAAAACTAACAAGAAGTGGTCATGAATGCATGGTGTTGAGATGTTTTGCACTATTCTGACTTTTTGGTCTCTGTAAAAATATTTTATTAACAGCAGACATTAAAATAAGAAAAAGCACATGGCCTCAGACGCGTGGTGGTGGCTTTGCATTCCCATTAACGCAAAAAACACAGCGCCTTTATGTGCAGATGCTGTTGAAAGCGCTTCCTGTCCATGAACCAACTCATCCACAACTAGCATCGCCCCATTTCACAGAGCAGGAAAACAGAGTCCCAGAGAAGTGAGATTTTGTGGAAAGGATGGAGTAAGGATTTGAATCCTGGACATTGGGCAGCTGTTACTTTTAGCTCAAGCAAGTTAGGATACAAATGCCAGGGATACACTCCCCAAATTCAACCCACAGCCCCATGTTTTTTGGGATTTTTTGGGGGGGTTTGTTTTGATATAACAGGTGAGAACATCATGTCATAAACTCGGAAATGCAAAAATGAAAACTTTATTTTTCTACAGCTGAATTTAATTTCTATTTAGGGCCCCCATCCCATCACAGAGCAGAAGCGAAGTATCACTCAGCTCAGGGTTTCCTTGGTAAATTCAGGGACTCCCCTTCTAAGATCTGGGGCTGTGTCTGCATTTAAGTGGCCAGAGCTGGGGCTGTAGAATCTACTACTGGGAGTGGGTTCAGTGAATGCTTTCAGCTGCAAATAATAGCCAAAAGAGCTAAAAGTGAAACAAACAGTGGCTAAGCCACAGAGCTTGCCCATAACACAGCAGTTCCACCCTCAAGACTTGCATGTGGGCCAAAAGACGAAACCTCAATGTCATGGTATCTTCACAACGGGGAATATGATACTGCTGTGAAAAGGGATGAACATGATGTCAGAAGAGGCAGCCCGCCAGGGGCCCTGAGTGTCCCTGCACATTCTTGGTGACTGTGCCAGATTGCAGACCTTATCTTTTCCACGAGACCTAGCAGTTTCCAATAGTTAGACACGTGGACTATGCAGAGTGACTACTGCATCAACTGCTCACTCCCTGACAGAGGGGAGTGGGCTTGTTTTCTGCTTGCTACAAAACAGACTCAGCCTTTGGCCCTGTGTCCCTCAGTATGTGGGGGTCCATCATGTCACCTATGGGGCTTGAAGACTGAGGCTCATGCTGCTTGCTGTGCTGTGAGAAATAAACCATCCTGCTCTGATCCACTGAGTCTCAGAGCTGACGCTGCACCTATGGACCAGGGACAGGTGTACTTCTGCCGTTCTCTATAAGTGAGGTTCTTCTCTGACTGACAAGAACGAATCTTAGAAGTATGACATTGAGTGAAAAAAACTAAGTTCCAGAAGGCATCAGAGAACATGACACCACATTTATAAAGCTCAAAAACTAGCTATACATATTTACACCCACAAGACACACCCACATTGATAAAGTTTAAGGATACATAAGTATGATTAATAATAAAAAAAATAAGCACTAAACTAAGGATTTAAAAACAGGATTCCACCTCACACCCATCAGGATAGCTATGTTAGCAAGGAGGTGGAGAAACTGGAACCCTTGTGCACTGTTAGTGGGAATGTAAAATTGTGCAGCTGCTGTGGAAAACAGTATGGAAGTTCCTCAAAAAATTAAAAATAGAATTACCATGTGACCCAGCAATTCTACTTCTGGGTATATGTATCTGAAAGAATTGAAAGCAGAGTCTCAAAGAGATGTTTGTACACCCACGTTCACAGCAGCGTTGGTCACAATAGCTAAAACATGGAGGCAACTCAACTGTCCATTGACAGGTGAATGTGGAGAAGAAAATGTGGTCCACCCACACAATGGAATATTATTCAGCTTTAAAAAGGAAGGACACTCTGACACCTGCTACAACATGGATGAGCCTTGAGGACATTATGCTGAGTGAAATAAGCCAGACACTATGATCAAATACTTTATGATTCCACTTATATGAGGTATCTAGAGTGGTCAGGTTCATAGAGACAGAAAGTGGGTGCAAGGGACTGGGGAAGGGGGTGGGGAGTTAGTGTTTGATGGGCACAGAGTTTCAGTTTGGGAAGATGAAAAAGTTTTGGAAATAGTACTGATGGTGGAACAACAATGTGAATATACTAAATGCCTTGGGATTGTACAATTGAATATGACTATTTTTATCTTATTTGAATGTCAACTCAATTTAAAAACAAAACAGACAAAAACCAAAATAAAACAAACGAAAAAAAACCCAGCTGGCCCGATTTGGTCCATGAGCCATTAATTTGCCAACCCTAATAGATTCTTCCTCAACTTCTCACTTCTCCCAACCTTACGCTAATTCTAACACCATCCTCATGCTCACCCCACCCTCCACTCTCACCTGAAACCCAGCTCCAGCCTTACCCCATCCTCCACTCTTGCTCCCACCCTCTTAATCTACCCTAATTCCACCCCTATTTATCCACACCTTTTCATCATGTCACCTGCCAACGTGGCGGGATCACCCAGGCAATGCCAACAAGGCTCACACTCAGTTTCCTGGAGGGTGTAACAATTACGTGATTCATAATCTTTCTAAAATTACACTTCATTACATAATTTAGTGCACTGCAAAAGAATTACTAATCCTGCAATTACATATAATGGTTTCTATGATTATGCATCCTACAATTACACAATCATTCTTATCATCCCCACAACAAACAGTAATAAACAAGAAGGAATTGGTGGGTAGACAGCAGTTCCCGCCCCAACCCAACCCCTTTCGGAGCAGAGGCTGCAAAGCCATCATGCTCTCAGATTTCTGTGTAGCCAGGCACATGTTGGGGTCCACCGGCTGGAGGCACTGGGGGGACTTTGGATGGAAGAAGGAACTGGTGCTGTCTTAGTTTCGCCTCCTCTTCATTCCACCAGCAGTCAACCTTTGTGGGTGTTAAAAAGCAGTTGTGGTGGAGGTGAAGGTGGCATCCTATTCCTGAATCACAGATACAGGGTATGTGCCCAAAGTTGGAGGTTTCGAGGACCTCCTGACCCCCAGCCTTCTGTGATTGTGGGAAGCTTCAGTTCCCCTGGTGAACCAGTTCTGCAGAGTCACTCCTATAGGACCAGCCCAGGTCCTGCTCCTCTGCACCAGGAATTGGCAAACTACGTCCCCTGGGCCACATCTGGCTTACAGATTATTGTTATAAATAAAGTTTTATTGGCACACAACCATGCTCATTCATTCATTCAATTAGTCTGTAACGGGTTTCACACTACAATGGCAGAGTTGGGTCCTCGTGAATTTCCTATATTAGCTCCCCTCTTTCTCTTAAAAGACCTCAAGTGGTTTCTCTTTCCCACCTTTAGCTTAACTGATACACTGTGTTATGATACATAATAAATTATGATACATCCATGGAGCCAGTCACAATTGCAGCTATGCTAAAGGATGAATGTGGTAGACTGAATAATGTCCCCCTCCCCAAAGATATTCATGTCCTATTGCCCAGGACATGTGAATGTTACTTTAATTGGCAAAAGGAACTTTGCAGATGGGATTAAATTAAGGATTTTGAGATGATGGGGAGATTATTCTGGATTATTCAAGTGGGCCCTAAATGTAATCAATACAAGAGTCCTTGCAAGAGCGATGAAAGAAGGTCAGATGAAGAAGTAGATGTGATGACGGAAGCAGGAAGTTGGACTGATGCAGGAAGGGGTCATGAGAGAAGGAACACCCACACGCAGTCCTGAGAAGCAGGAAAAGGCAGGAACACAGATTCTCCCCAGGATCCTCCTGAAGGAACCAGCCCAGCTGATACCTTGACTGTAGCCAAGTATACTGATTTCAAACTTCCAGCCTCCAGAACTGCATGAGAATAAATGTGTGTTTTAAGTCACTAAATTTGTGGACATTTTTACCGCAGGCATAGCAAACAAAGATGATGAGCCAAAAGACCAACTGAAGGGTTTTCCCATGAACATGAATCACTTTTCAATTAAAAATTACAAATTAAATGCTATATATGGAACATTCCAGAAGGAAGGATGCAGGTCTCCTAGAAGTTAAGAGAGGAAAGGAAAGATCTGAGTTAGATAATTAGATGTAGGGCGGGCGACATTCAGAATGAAATTCAGTTTCCCAGCCACCACCAATAAACTTGTAACCCCTTCAGTATGGAGGCAGAGCCTAAGGATCTAGGTTTTTGTTTTTTGTCTGTTTGTTTTTTAAATTGGGGAACTGGGGGAAGGGAACAGTGCTGGGGGGAGTTGGGGGAGAGGAACAGTGTTGAGGAGTTGGGGAAGGGGAACAGCCAAGTTGTTGTTGTCCTTCAATCTTAGTTGTGGAGGGTGCAGCTAGCTCAGCTCCAAGTCCAGTTGCCATCCAGCCGCCCGGCGGCAGCTCGCGGCCTTTCAGCTCAAGGTGCTGTGTTCAATCTTAGTTGCGGGTGGGTGTAGCCATCATCCCATGCACGAGTTGAACCAGCAGCTTTGTTGTTAAGAGCGCATGCTCTATATCCCCTGAGCCACCCGGGTGGCAGCTCAGGTCAAGGTGCCGAGTTCAGTCTTTAGTTGCGGGTGGGCATAGCCCACCAGTCGAACAGGCAACAGGAGCATGCGCTCTCACCAGCTGAGCCATCCTGCCACCTGATGGCAGCTCAGCAGCAGTTCAGCTCGGGCACAGCTCACTATCCCCGAGAATCGATGTTTTATCAGAGACATTTTGTTGCAAACAAAACTGCTTTATGCCACAAAAAAAGGCCCTTTTAGAGACTCATGTTCCCAAAAGGCTGAATATAAACGGGTGCAGGGATTCTCAATGCTGGACTTTTGGGGCCCAATCATTCTTTGTTATGGGGCCTCTCTGTGCCCCGTAGAATGTTTAGCTGCATCTCTATCTTCTGTGCACTCAATGCCAGTAGCATCCACCCCAAGTCATAACCACCAGAAATGTCCCCGGACGTCGCCCAATGTTTCTGAGGGACCAAATCACCCCCAGTTGAGATTCACTGGGTAAAGGTAAGCTTTGGAAACAGCACATGTAACTGTAACATGAGAAGCGACTCCAGCATCCCCTAAGAGGGGACTGGTTCCTAATAAGCTCAGATCATCCACCCTGAATAGTGAGGAGTTAATAAGAAAAGTAACTATGGTGGCCTCTCCTG